AGCTTATCATGCACAAAAGCATGCAAATATCAGGTCTGAATGCCAATTCTATTTAGCTAACAAAGAAATGGTTGGACTTGGCAAGAATTATCAAAGACACAAACCAATTCCCAAGCATGTCAACGTTCCAGCTGATGTGGGACAGCACCCACACCCGGAGACAAAGCAAGATTAGAAACACACATGGTTGCTCCACTGCAGCGGTTTGACCCATCAGGCTGAAGGGAGACGGCGTCCGTGACTTCCAATGCAATTGGGATGCATGTGAATATCGAATAATAGAGAGTGACACACCTTATGTTGTGTCAGGTTTAAAATCCAGTGAGATGGAGATATAGATGTCAGCTACCAGGACAGGCCAGCTTCGCTGTCCATGGGCATCACGCGACCAGCACCTGTCCGCTCAGCAGGTCGTGTGCCTTGAAGCAGAGGAATACACAGATTCCTCCCTAGCCTCTCCTTCCTGGGCAGAAGGGGCCCTAAAGCGGGCACCTCCCCTCAGTCTGTGCCAGCACATGGAGAGCAGTCAGGGGAGACCACTTATAATTTGATGCAGATGGTCACTTCATTCGCATACACACCAAGCAGGGTGGGGGACTGCCCACCAGACCCTCCTCCTGTGCTAGCCCTGGGGCTACCAGGCTGTATATTTAAGCAGAGTAGAGCTTTCTCACTCTGGAGGCCCACTTTGTCAGACAGGCAGAGGTGCTTTAGGACACCCTAAAAGAATGACACATTCCTAGGTTTGCATGACGTACAAGCCAGCTGCAGAGGCTCACCTCTCCCTGAAGGAGGCCATCAGAGCCTGGGGAAGCTGTCGGGCAGGCAGGTTTCTGAGCCCCTGTTCCATGGGTTCAGACCCTGTGAATCCGTAGCAGGTTCTGAACTGTAGAAATGGACCCTCACAGTTACACTGAGCTAAGACTCTTCTTGACAACTGTCCTTTCCCAGCGCAAAGAAAGGAAACCAGATGGCTGGGAAGGCTGGAGACTCAGGTCTTCAGACTTTAAAGGGAAAAGGGAACTTAAGAGACACAAGCCGAGCATTTTTTTTTTTTTGAGCATGTTGGAGTCACTCATCTCATCTGCAAATAGCATCTTTGAGTAAAAGCCAGTGTATTAAACAAAAAAAGCAAAAGTGTTAAAGGAGGGTTTGGGCCCAGAGTTCCATCTGCCTGTCCCCTGTCTTGCCCAGGGTATCGCAGGAGAGCTCTTGGAGGAAACCTACATCTCTTCAGAGCACAATTTGGAAAACACTGATTAGAGATGCCCCGCTGGGGAGAAGAATAGAGCCCCGGGGGGTGCCGAGGGAACCTCATGGCCTGTAACCTCTCTCCCTCTCTTCCTGCCAGACAGGAGCTCCACACCAACCCCACAGGCTCCAAGGTGTGACCAGCCGAAGCTTGTGCCCTTTTAGGACACACAACAATACAGTTCGCCTTTAGCACTGAGTTCACACACATGTATGGCAGGATCCCCAGTGAGGGGTTACAACATACAGACCCCCCAGCGCAGCCTGCAGAGCCCCTCAAAGGACACTGCCATTTCGCCCTCTGCCCTGCCTTCCAGGCCACTGGGAATACCAGGCCCAGCCCATGCTCTGTATTTCGTGGTGAATTTATAAGTAGGTTCCGACTTCCAAGGAAAAAAGAAATGGGGAGGCAGGCATCAAACCTGATCAGTAAGGGCAGACCATCTACAAGAATGTATGACCCTCCACTCCTTCCCAGACTCCTCTCAACAGGATTTTGCTACCTGAGTTATCTAAAAAATGGCACTTCACTGGACTTTCTGTAGACACAGCAGAAAAAAATCATTCCTGTTCGTGAGTGGAAATTTTTTTCTTACCTATATCTCTTCTGTGCATTTTAAAGTCTTTTAACAAAAACTTGCACCATTCTTAAAAAGGTCCAGCTATCTTAAAAGCAAATCTTAATCTCGGAGCACAAGGTTGATTCATATACCAAGGCAGTCATGACTGCAAGGCACGCGGTGGCCACATTTATTTAATGGTTCGTAGAAGGCTCCATGCTCAGTTAAGTCCCCCTGCATCTTTTCACTAGTCTAGTCAACACCATTGTCTTTTTAAAAACACAGTGAATCTTTTTGATTGGGACTTGAGGCTGGGATCATTCGATTTCTGTTCAACTAAGCTGTCTTATCTCCCTGTGTGCCAGGCTGACCCTGGCACGTCGGGAACAGCATCCTGGCATGGCCTGGGGTGCCAGCACATAAAAGAAATGAATGAGCATTCCCGCAGGACAGACAGGCTTTCTCTGGCTTTCACGCTACTGGGATCCCAGTGGTGACAGACAGGAAAATATCACATGATCATCACCCCAAAATAAGAAGGGTGCTCCTCCCCTATAGAGACAGCCAGCAGCCTGAGTACAGACTTATTAATTGAAAAGGGGAAGAGACAGCTGCACATATGTTGCCTATGACTGACCTTAGGCAGAGTCTCCCAAATGCCAGGAAAAGTATTTCTGTCAGGAACGCCTTTTAAGAATAGCATTTCTCCCGCAGTTTCAATGCTCTTTTCGTTTTGTTCAGTCATTCCATCACCTGACATGTACTGAACTACTAGACGCCAGCATTAGCCTGCATGTGGACATGCTCACTCACTCCCTCAGCATGTGTTTAACATGTTCATTTAATAACTGAGTATTAACTAGGTGGTGTCAGGAAACTAGCCAGGTGCTGGGCACCTGGAAAGCAAAGACATCACCCCTCTCTTGTCAGGGGCACTGGTGCTGAGCCAATGGCTACTTGGTGCCACGCCCCTGCCAAGAGTTCTTCCAGCCATTGTCTCTTTCCAGATGCACAGCACTCATGGACCCATTTTACAGACGAGGACACCAAGGACTTGGAAAAGAGAAGGCACCAGCTTAGGCCTTTCTAATTCTGACATTGAAATCCTCCCAGCTCACGAATGGCTGTAGCATAAAAGGAAAAGGAATGTGCTGTAGGAAAGACACAAAACGAGTAACATTGTGGTACCACGATGTCCATCCAAAGACAACAGAAATTTCTGTTTTCCCTGTGCACCTGTGGCTAAGTGGAAACTATGTGGAAAAGAGGTTGGCAGTTTCTTAAAGAGTTAAATGTGATTAGCATGTGACCCAACAACCTCAGTTCTAGGGATATACCCAGGGAAACGAGAACACTTTTTCATACAAAAATGTGCACTTGGATGTCCAAAGCAGCATTGTTCATCACAGCCCAAAAGTGGAAAGAACTCAAATCTCCATCAAATGACAAAGGGAGAAATGAAGTGTGTTCTGTCCATACAACAGAATATTACTCATCCATAAAAAGGTATAAACATCTACAGGGTGGATGGACTTTGGAAGCACTATACTAAGTGAAGGAAGCCAGACACAAAGGCCGTGCACTGTATGATTCCCTTTATAGGAAATGTCTGGATCAGGCAAGTTATCCTAAAGAGACAGAAAGTAGGTTCGTGGTTGCAAGGGACTGGGAGGAGAGGTTTCCTTAAGGGGTGAGGAAGATGTTCTAGAATTAGACAGTGGTGATGGTCTGCGGCCTTGTGAATATACAAAAAACCACCGAACTGTACCCTTTAAAATGGTGACATCTATGATATACTGAACTGATATCTCAATTTAAAAAGAGAGAGACAGATGAATAGGCTTCAACAAGTCCTGACACTGGTGAGGGCTCTGCCCCCTCCTCCTCTGAGCCACGGCCTGAGGCGAGTGCCACTGCAAGACCATCATCTCTGCTTCAGCCACTCGCAGCAGGGACAGAAGTCACTTGGGGGGGCAGAGGAGCTGGAGGGCAGCCCTCGGCAGAGTTTAGAAGGGGGAGACGCTTCTCTCTCCGGCTCCCCGCGTCCTTTCCCCGACCTGGCCCCAGGCGGAGTGTCAGGGGACCATGGCCCTAGTGTCAGCCCTGCTACTAACTGACTTTGTGACTTCAGACGAATCTTTGTGCCCTTTCAAACAGGCCAACTCTTCAGACTTTTTGCCTTAATTAAGGAACAGAGAGGAGAAAGACCACCCTTATCCATTTTTTTCTCTTCTCATACAATGGCAGCTGCCTCCTAACCCCTGGGTAATACTAAAAATGAAGCAAAGAGCCACCGGCTACTATGAAAGCAAAGTCTATTAGCACTCAGCCTGCCGGTTCTAGGGCAGACAGCTGCAGACCTGGAAACCTCCTTCTGAGGAAATGCACCTCCATCAGGGGCATCCCGGCAAGCTGAGAGACTCATACCATCCTGGAATGGCTGGCTGGGTGCTTCAGGTCATTAAGTCACAGATCTTCTGAGATGGAAGGGCCTTCCAGATCATTTAGCATAGGTCTCTCATTTTATAAATGAGAAAGCTGAGCCCTAGGCGCTTACATTCCTTATCCCCAAGTCACAAGCTAATAGAGGCACAACCCTATTCTCTCCTGCCTCCTGCCCAGGGCACTTTTTAACCCAGCACACTGCTTCTCTAGAATAGTCTCTTATCTGTAGAAATCCTATGCCCAAGATAGCCAAAATACATTTGTCATGTAGCCCAACCCTCTCAAAACCCACTGTAGCCAGACACAAAATTCCAATTGTTTAGGGCTTGTCTATTCCAACAGAGCAGGACCCTTAATGATATGAAAGTCAAGAAAAAGCAAGGAGTATCATTTAGGGGAAAGTAAACACTGCCCCTAAAATCTTTTATCTTAATTGTGAGTATCGAACTCATGAAACTACTCCTCACCATCATAGCATCTGTTTCATGGATTAAGGCAATGTTTTTGTGTTGTGACTATTAAAATTCTTGATTGAAATTGAGAGAAAACTCAACTCAAGCTAACCTATGAAAAAAAGGAAATTTAGTAGCACACAGAAATGGACTTCAAGCAAGGCTTGATCCAGGTTTCAAAAATGTCACCAGGGATCCGGTGTCCCTTTCTTTATCCTTTGACTCTGCTTGCCAGCATACTGGCTCTGCACTTGCAGACACTTGCCCCATTCCAGGACTGATATATTCTTACCTTCAAGGCCAGTGGGAAAGAATAAGAAGCTGTCTCCTGGAGAGCTCCAAGGAGGGCCTGAGAACTGGGACCCAATGCCTCAGACTGGCCCGACAGAGGATTTGTTCTCCTCCCATGGAAATACTGTCGGAGTTTCATTCGCTCTGTGATACTGCAGATGAATTAATAAAGGGCCATTAAACATGGGAGGGAATCTGTTACCACTTGCCCTATACTTATTAATAAAGATAATTCCGACTTCAGACCCCACCTTCTGAAGAGTGGTTTTCTCACTCAGCTTGAACATGAAAAATACATTAAATGAAAAAAAAAAAGCTTACAAGAATCCTCTTTGAGGTCCACTCAGTATTTTCTTCAGACCGAGAGACTATTCTCTGGAGGTTTGCATTGCTAATTATAACACACAGTCTGAAAATTGATCTAGTATGAAAGCCGACTAAAGCCTCCTGCTATCTGGGATGATTCATCAAAGCCAGAAAGTATGCTGTGTCACCCCCCAACAAGAGGAAATTGCTGGAAAACATGTAATTTTTATAGAGCCACTTGGCTTGGCAAATACATCGGTGTTCGTCAGGGCTGGCCCCGGGCGAACGTGAAGTAGGAAAATCTGGGTCTTCCTCTTAGCAACACCCCTCACCCGAATGTCCTTTTTAAGCAAAACTTTTCCCACCTTCCAGTAGCCTTGACCACCCCCACACCCACACTGGTGCCTTCAGGTTGCACTCGGAATGCCCAGAATTACCCTCCTTAGAGCCCAGGGCTTCCCTCCCTGGAAGCACATCATCATTATCAGCATATATGCTGTGTAGCAGAACGCCTATAACGTGAGCACATGTATGGCTGAGCTGGAGATAGGTCATCTTCTTGGCTATCCTTGGGGGCCTGCCTCTTCCTGATCCCACCCAATTCTTGCAGGGCTGCCCATCAAGGGAAAACATTTCCTTCAACAAATGGGTAAACCTATCACTCAGCCTGGGCAATCAGAACAGATTACTAAGTGACCCGAGTGAGACCAAGAGTCCTTCCTAGGGACGGTCATTGAGGCTGAGACAGAGGAGTGTTCTTCTGCTGTGACAGGTGCTATAAGAACCATATAAGCCTGACACTGACAGTCCATCTTCAGCCCTGAGAATACAAACCAACTCAGAAGAAAGAAGACTTGAAAATGGGAATGGTGTGGTCCTGATTGGGATCATTTTAGTCCTGAATTGACCTGCTCCTAAACTTTTACCCCTAGACTTTTCATTTACCTAAACCATTAAATGATCTTTTTAGTTAGATTTGCCTGTGCCATTTCTCTTGTTTTCAGTCTAAAAATCTTCACTGATGTAACAAGACACCAAGAAGCATAAATTATCAACACTCTAGTATACAATCAGCCAAAGAGGCCACAAGTCTATGGCCCAGGGAAGAAATTCAAAAAGCAGCCATCAACAACCCAAGCTTCCTGGAAAAGCTCATTGCTTCCAGAAATCTGTAGCCAGCTGGCTGGTCCTGCTGCCACATGGTCCCTACACTTTACTTTCTTCTTCAGTTCTTAGATCTCCATGATGATTACATGGCACCCCAGTGCCTGCCCCTCCGTTGGTCTCATTGGTTTTCCTCTGAAAACTTTGTCCTATATATATTTGAAAGGCTCCTGGCATTCCCTAGCAGATAGCAAATTTCCAGCTTTCATTCTTCCCTCCAACTGTCAGCACAGGCTTCCTCAAAATGGGTACCTGATGCACTCAGACCCCAATCGCTGTATAGATATCACCTTTCCTGGACCACAACCAATTCCACCCCATCCTACTAATGTCCCAGGAGCTTTTGCACCTTGCAGTGGGACTCCCTGAGACACAGAAGAGCTCATGCATAGCACTTCTCTATAGAAATATCACCAAAATCACCATCACAGCTACCATTCATTTGTTGAGCATTTATTACGTACCACTGTGCTAAATGATCTATATGCATTGTCCCAACTGGCTCCAAATATCTTATCTACAAACCTTTCCAGCTTTCTGAGAAGAATGCCAAGCTAAAGATCCATACCCACTGAAGCTGACCAGATTGCTAAATCCATAAGCCAGCTGTCCTCACTCTCCAACCTCTGTCTGCCCTTACTTCTGTGTCCTCTCTTGTGTATTCCATTGACATTCCAGCTAAGTTTCAAGGGACCGAAATGCCATTAGCCAGACTTTGGGTCCAAAATCATGTTATTGTCTCTCAGGTGTGGCTTTACCCACATATCTCATTGTTAATGAGAATAGGGTTAGTACCACATTGGATGAGTATAAACATCTCAGGCATGAACTTAGCTAGTGACAAAGGACAACAAAGAGAAGAAACTGCCATCAGCCAGCTTCTGCCTGCTAGTGTAAAGCCAGAGAGGAATCTGACACCCCCTCAGGAGTAATAATAATAGGTAACATTTACTGAATGTAATGTACAAGGGACCCCATGTCCTGTACGAGTATCATCCAATTTAATCCTCACACTACCAATGAGCTGTGTGCTACTATTCTTCCCATTTTATAATGAGGAACCTGAGGCAGAAATGTTAAAAAGCCTGCCCAAAGTCACAAGACTAATCTGGCTTCAGAGTGCTTGCTATTAACAGTGATGAGGCACCACTCAATGGCGTCATAAATCAGAGCATCATCCTTTTGACGTGGTCATCTACATACATATCAGCAGAGGCTGGCCAAAAGGTGGAGCAACTGTCAGTGGTATGTCATTTTTCTATTGCTATATCACAAATTACCACACAATTTAAGAGCTTCAGTCTACATTTGTTATCTCTCAGTTGTGCAAGCAGGGACCTCAGGCACAGCCGAGCTGGACCCTCTGCTATAGCCATGGTGTGGGCAGGGACTTAGGTTTCAGCTGAAGTTCAGGGTCCTCTTCCAAGCTCATGTGATTCTTGGAAGAATTCATTTCCTTGCAGTTCTGGAGCTCAGTATGGCTTGCTTCTTTTTCAAGACCACCAAGAGAATCTCTCTGACCTCAGGGAAGACCCAGCCTCTCTTTTAAAGGGTTCATCTGATGAGGTCACACTACCCAGGATAATCTCCCTTTTTGACCAACGCAAAGTCAGCTGAGTAGGAACCTGAATTACATCTGCAAAATTCCTTCACCTTTGCCTTATAATGTGACATAATCACGGGAGTGATACCCCATCAACTTTACCATGTTCTATTGGTCAGAAATGTTATAGGTCCTACCTGCACCCAAAAGGAAGAAATTATACAAAAGCATAGGCCTCTGGAGATCATCCTAAAATTCTACTCACCACATCATACATACCAGGTCTTCTTGAGTAGCTAGTCTTGCTGACCCCAAACTGGACCATTCTCTAATGACATGATTCCATCAGAATCTCTAGAGATTTCATATACCAGGACCTCCAGAAGCCAGAACCTGACTGCACAGTGTCCTGCCAGAACCAGAACAGGACTGTTTGTGACCGAGGAGTCGGAGCCGTAGCGATTTCCAGAGATGCTGGCACCTCTCCCTGCTGCACAGACCCGCCTCCACAACGGAGGCACAGCTGGCCCACCTAGCAGAAGAGCCCTACAGTGATATGTGGCTTGAAGCTCACACCTTGTGTGGCCTCTGAATCAAGAAATTGAGGACTATTGGGCAAAACAAAACAAACCCAAACCCAGGAAGTCATCAGTCTGAAGGGCAAATGTGCATATAGATCATTTAGCACAGTGGTACGTAATAAATGGTTCAAGTGTGGTCAGAACCAGGACACTGCATGAACGAGCCACAGCCACAGCTTGTCACTCCCCCTGGGTCCCCTCTCTTTCTCCGGGTCACTCACCTGGTTCCTGAGCACTCCAGGAACTGACACCAAAGGTGGCAGATAAAATACATACAAATGAAAAAATAACTACACAAAGAGGTGACGAATGAAACAGGTAATGAATGTTAGGAATTCAGATGGGGGAGAGCTCATGTTTGCCCAGGCAGCTCAGAAAACACTGCAGGAACAAGATAAGAACTGAAGTGGACAGTTGAGGTAGACTTGCATTTCAACGCCAGCAAGGGTGCATTAATAGCACTAAGGCATACGTTCACATGGCACACGGACAAGACACAGAGGGCCTATTGAAAGTACTTTGCCAAGGCCCTTTACCAATCAAACTAGACTTCCTATCTCCCATTCCTTGGGGCCCTAATCTCTTCCCTCCCGATCTGATAAACTAATCTCTGCTAAAATTGCAAATGGATTGCTGAGTAGCATATTTGCATTTTAATAGGGACCTTCTGGGCATAGAGCCTTAAGCTAAAGAAATGGCTACAAATACGGGTCATCTCTGGCACTACGATAAAATGGTAGGGAAGAAATTACAGGGCAGATAAATTCTCATTTTCCCTCCATTCACTTTTTCTGCAAGTAGAGCTGGTACTCGTCTCAGGCTTCAGAGTTTAATAAAACTCAGTTTGTCCGGTAAGTCATGTTTTGAAGACGTGTTCATCTACACGCATATCAGCGGAGGCTGGCCAAAAGGTGGAGCAACTGTCAGTGGTATATTATTTTTCTAATATACCACTGACAGTTGGTATACATGGGAATACTAGTATCCAACCAAAGCATAACTATGTAAGTGAAGTTTACTGATAAACCCCTGGTACTTTTTTAAATGCTCCATAGATCAAATGATAACCTTATATGTTCTTTATGCCGTGGAGTTGTCATTCCCACTGTACGGGACAATAAAGCCCCTTAAGTACTTTAAAACATTTATATAATATGTTGCTTTGGAATTTGTTGATTCTAAATGCTCTCAAGTGTAGGAAATCTTATGGAGTAATAATTAAGTACTAGACATAAATCACAAAGGAAACGTCAACTGCAAAAAAAAAGTTGTAAATAGCAACAAGTCTTTTTGCTTCAGGGCCTTCTCTTCTCTTCCCCTCCCCTCGTCTCCCCTCCCCTCTCCTCTTGTCTTCTCTTCAGCAGCAGAGGTAGTGTGGCTCTGGAAAGGACGTTCTATCCAGAAGCATAAAGTGGGAGGTGATTATGGTTGTATTTACAGTTTTCTTAGTCTAGCTCACAATCTTTTCTTTTAAACACAGGTGCTTGTCTTCAAACCAAAGTGAAATATTGTGATATCACCGATACTGAATTAAATACATTAAAGATCCACAAAGTAT